CCACCAACTAGGTGGGTGAGCCCCTGGCCAGGGTGGGGACAAGGGTTGGGGCAAGCGGAGGCTCTCCTTTTAGGTAAAACTACCAGTCCAACCACCTGGCATGACACAACCAAAACATCATTTTTGTGCCTATTCATCATCTCACTTTCTTCTCCCTGCATCAAGCCTAGGAGGCGGGATGAGCCCATTTTACAACCAGGAAGCTGAGGCCAACGTGGTTAAAGAACTTAACACAGACCCAGACAGTAGAGCTCCGGAGACCACCCCTTTACCACCATCTCCTGAAGGACATCTCCCCAAGATCTCTGACCACACACAGGCTTTCCCAAATAGCACCATTTCATTAGTTACAACCAGGCTCTTGAGGACCTACTATGCGCTGTGTAGGTGCTAGGAATACAGAGATGGATAAGGCATGGTTCCCTGCCCTTGAATGGGATGCCGAGGAGTAAGGAGATAATTGCGACCTGGCATGCTGTCCTAGAGCCCAGGTACTGTGCAAGCCCAGGGTCTGTATACCTCACTCTGGTGGGCACCTGGACAGGGGCCAGGAGGGAAGGCTTTACACAAGCAGGTGAGAGTGAAGTGAAAAACTCTAAGTAGGCATGAGCTAAGAAAGCGAGGAGCTAGTTGCGTGACCGGCAGAGGGAACAGCATGTGCAGAAATGTGGAAGGGTAAACTAGCAGAACCTTCAGAGAGCTGCAGTTCTCCTCATACCGCTCCCTGGGCTGGATGGGAAATTTGCTCTGTGACCCAGGGAGAGAGCTTCCCAGAGCCTCTCAGACCACCCAGGTCAGCAGCACACTCTCCTGGGATGAAATCCAAAATTTGTCACAGTTGCCCTGGCTACCTACCATTTTTGCCGGAGTGAGGCCCAGACAGTAAATGCTGGGAGAGGGATGGGGAAAGCAGTTCAGCGTGGCCTGGTCTGGCCCAAGAAGGGTGTGGTGGGCTGAGAGAGTGGGCTTTGGACGGCCACAGGGAGGCCGAGACCTGGCTTGCTCTCTTACTGGTAAGTCAGACTCGCCGAGCATTCTGTGTACAGGGGCCTCAGCAAGGTGGGTTTTTCTGTTGGACCTCTCCACCTTCCACCTGTCGCACTAACTCCCGCTCGCCTTTCAGGTCACTTGGCACCCTGCTAGCTTGCTGTTTGTTGCACGTTCCCTTCAAACCACTCTCCACAGTGGGGTGGGTGGATAGCTGGGACTGTAGCCTGGAAGCTACCATGGAGATTCATGTGTGCTCTCTCTCTGCCCCTCACACAGAGCACTCAGTCACCCAGGACACCCCGCCACGGTAAGTGAACTACCCCCACCCCCACCCCACCCCACCCAGCTCTTGTCCCTACTGGCCGAGAGGTACAGGTTTCTCAAGGCTGGTGGCACGAGGAGAAAGAATAGGCAAAGGGCCAAGGCCGGGGTCCCTGCAGCCTTCCAAGGCCCCCCTCCTTCATTCCACCAAGCCCTAGTTCTAGGGCTAGACTAGGACATGGTGACCTGCTCTCCCCACCCCCACTCCCAGCATGTATTATCTGAGCCTCACACTAGACTCTCCCCTAGACCTGCCTGGTGTTCCAGTGCTGAAGGGTCATTTTTCTATGTGTCTATCTTATCTCAGCACCTAGATGTGCTTCCTCAAGGCTATGTTTCCTCTGGTAGTGCCCAGTATTCTAAAACAGGCAGACCCACACAGAAGTCACCTCAAGGCAAACATTCCCCCAGAGACCCAGCTGAAAGCTCTGAATACAAATGTCAGTAGAGGCTCTGAGAGCTTAGGTGAGGGGCCCAGTCGTTGCCCCTCCCACCCATGCTCCCCTCCTCCATGTCTATCCGAGTGAAGGCCTGTGTTGAAGAAGAAAGAATCCAATTCAGAGTCCCTGGGCAGTCTGTCCTGGATGCTTGGGGATAAAGAGATGGAGCAGAACGACCACAGCCCTCCAGGGCCCATTAGACAAGTCCAGCCTCAGCTCTCATAACTCCCCTCTACCTGGGTCCCGGGGGCTGGGAAATCCACATTGCCAGCTGGGGCCCTTCCCTCAGCTGCCTGCTCACCCTCACATTCTCAACTCCTGGTGCAATGTTTCTTTTCTTTGCTAATTTACTATCTCACCAAGGCACCTAAATCAGAAAGTTGACTGTTCATATAGTTTTTGAGTACTTACTGTGTACCAGGCACCTATGTTTTGTATGCTAAAGATACAACAAAAATCCCCAACCTCAGAAAAATCACATTTTAGCGTAGAGAATTTTAATAAAACATAAACAAGATCATCTTAGATTCTAAAATAAGAGCTGTGAAGAAAATGGACAAGGCGATGAAGAAGAGCTCGGGGGTAGGGAGGGGCCCACTGGGCTGTGGCTACTTTAGATCAGGATGTCCTCTCTGAGGACATGACATTGAGGAGACCTGAGACTGGAGCCCAGAGGGGCAGGCAGGGGACAATCCAGGAGGAAAAGGCAAGTCAAAGGCTCAGGGGAGACTGAGAAGGGGGCAGGGGGGACCGGGAGGCTGAGGGATTTACTCTGAGTGTGATGGGGAGTCACTGAATAGTTGTAAGCAGACAAGGGGCCCCATCTGAACAAGAGTAGGGGACCGGAGACTTATGAGGAGGCTGTTGGCCAAGGCTGAGGCTGGCATGGCTGCCCGGATGAAGGTGGCAGTAGTGGAGGTGGGAGATGGGACAGATGGAAGGCAGGGCTGGCCAGAGGACTGGGTGGGTGGCATGAGCGAGGGAAGAGGCCAGGATGCTCAGGCTTGGAGCTAGAACCCTGCGTGCCACTTACTGAGATGAAGCTGAGCAGAGAGGGGCGGCGGCGAGGATCATGTGAGCACTATGGACATTTACGGTGCGATGCCCATTCAGCCGCCCCAGAAGTCAGGAAAGTCGCTGGGGCTCAGGAACCCAGGTCCGGGAATGTGGGTCTGGGGGTCAGGGACACAGGTGGTTTCCGAAGCCACAGACGAGATCCCTTGGAGAAGGTGCAGACTGTAGGATGCTGCCGCCCACGGTAGCCCCGTCCCGTTCCACAAGGTCTTCCATTTCCTTGCCTCTGGGCTTCAGTCAGTCTCCAGGCCCTGTTGGATCTAGGCCCCGATGCCCATCTCGTCTCCCTTTCCTGACCCTTGCTGGGCTGTGGTTTGGGCAGTTAGGGAGCCCTCCTGTACTGAGTGCTCAGCCGACTTTCTCCTGTCCACAGGCCCCAAGCTCAGGAGTCCAATTATGAAAATTTGAGCCAGATGAGCCCCCAGGGCCCACCGGCAGCTGCGTGTTCCCTGCGAGGAGCCGCTCAGCCACCAGCACCCACTTGTGCATCACAAGGAGCAAAGGCCGACGTGCAGCTTGGCTGAGACAGCCCTTCCTGGATCCCAGGCACCTTGGCAGTCCCCCACCGGGTGACCCCATCAAGACCAGGACCCCGCACAGGGGCCCAGTGCTCTCTTACAGGAACACCTGTCCTGAAGCCCCAGTGATTAATATGTCCATGGGGCCAGCATTTTGAAAGTGTGTGTGTGTGTGTGTGTGCGTGTGCGTGTGCGTGTGCGTGTGTGTGTGTGTGTGTTTGTGCACACCTGAATTCCCCGTGTGTGTGTGTGTGTGTGTTTGTGCATACCTGAATTCCAGTGTGAAACTTCCGGAAAAGCCCCTTTCTCCTTTTCTACTTAGAACACTATTGTAAAGCAGGCAGGACACCGGTCATAGGATCTCAAGGCCTAGGCTCCTTCCTGGCTGTCATTGACTTTCTGTGTGGACAAAGGCACTTCTCCCACCTCTCTGGGGCAGAGCGCATTCACTGTTGAACATGGATGATAATGTTCTTCCCTCCTGGCTGGACTGTCAGGACCTGAGGATGGGAAGGGACTTTGGGAAGTACAAAGCTGTCTACAGATGTGAAGGGCACTACAGGCTCCTCCTTCCAAAACAGCCTTGGGATGTGCATGGTTCTTGGACAGTGTGGTGCCCATACCAGGCTCGCTGAGAAAGAGGGGCTGGGGCTTCGGGGCTGAGGCTGTGCAAACCTGGGGACCCGCCAACATCAAATTGGTGACAAAGAGAAGCCTGGTGCCCCTGTCCCCTAGGGTCTCCCATGACTGTCCCACACTCTGCGCACCTCTTACCCATCAGCTGCTCTGCACTGCCTTGAGCTGGGACCCCTGGGAAAAGGAAACAAAACACTCATCATTTCAAAGCATCTGGAATCCACTGTCATAAGGCTAGGAAACCTCAGGCAAAGTCTGGGCTGCAGGTCCCGGTGGATAAAGCAGCTGCAGCTCTGGCCTCTCTCTTTACCACCTGTATCCTCCAAGGATGTGCGAAGCCCCAAAACACCAGCAGCTTCACCCCGTTTGCCTGAGTCCTGCCAGGCTGACTTTGCAGCGTCCTGCCTTCTGTATTTGTACCTCACTGTGAATGTGCTGATCATTTTAGCTCTTGCAGTGTTTGGGGGCAGGGAGACGGGGAGGAGGCGTGTTTGGGACCCAGCAAGGTGGCGAGAAGAAAAGACCACAGAGATAGAGGACTGGAGAGGCGATGGGGACGAACTTGCCTTCAGAAATTTTGATGCTTCCCTCGTGAGATGACCTGAAGGGTGAGGGAAATTTACAAGTTAATATGCAAGGCAGTGCGTTAGGAGTTCCCTCCTTCCCAGAGCCTTCACTAAGCCAGATCGGTGGTGGTGGCAGCTCATGGTTAACTGAGAATCCATCCGGGAACCTGTCTGAGCTGTTAAAAGGTCGGAGGAGTTGGCAGTTGTTCTCCTTGTATGAGGATACATTGGGGCACCTCCAGGAAAAGTCCTGTATCCCCGGGGAAGAAGGGAAGGACACAGGGTGATATGTCTTGGAACCTCTGCCTGGTCTCTGAGGCCAGCTTCACAGCCAAGAACAATAGTGATAGGAATTATTTCTTATGTATATGTTATGTGCTAGGAGTTGGGCCAAGGGTTTGGGGATACAAAAATGAATAAGGCATGTGTATCAGTCAGGCTGGGCTAGGTTATACTGTGGTAACAAACCAATTCCAAAATCACAGTGGCTATAAACAATTAGGGTTTATTCTAGCCAAAGCTATATGCCCATCATTTAAGCAGGGAGTGCTTTGCTCATTGTACTTACTCAAGGATCCACCATCTCTAATGTTGTAGATTGCTGGGCAAGAGATAAAAAGAAACCTGCAGAGAGTCTCCCATTTGAGATTATAGTTCATTGGCCAGAACTGGCCATATGCCCACTCACCCTCAAGGGGCTGGGCAGGTGCATGCGTGTGTGTGTGTGTGTGTGTGTGTGTGTGTGTGTGTGTGTGTGTGTCTGTGTCTGTGTTTTGAAAACATACTTTGTACCTGGAAGGAGGAAAGCCAGAAGCATTTGGAAACAGCCCTGAGGACTTACTCCACAGT